CCTGGGGGATGGAGGCGCATGGCAGTCCATTCACCTGTCATGGGGAGGAGGAGGAGCTGCCCCAGCCCCGAAGGCCCAGTCCCAGAGGGTCTTGCCTCCCTGTGCCTCTGGAAGGCAGGAGCTCAGCCACACAGCCTCAGTGAGGGAGCCTGTCATGGAGGCACCCGGCTGCACCCTCTCAGAATTTGGCACCTGGGCCAGTCGCCATGGACCCCCCTCCCCATGCTATGCCACTGTCATGAGAGCTGAATTGTCCAATATATTTTACAACCTGACAAAATATATGCTTCCCTTTGCTTCCTGCTGCTGCATTTTGTAACTCATCCAAACACAAAATTTAGGGGAAATCCAGCAAAATGTCAATTTTTGACCTAATCCCACATTTTAAAAATTAAGTTTAATTTTGTCAGAGAATATCTAGTATATGAAATACTTTGAACACTCAGATGTACTATTTGAAACCAATTATTTATGACGATTCTATAATTTTCAACAATAAATGGCATCTAAACAAAGGAAGAGTCTCCTAACTCAACAAAGCACATTGCATTGTGCATTAGCTTGTTCAGTCCTATAGATTTTTAGTCTGCCCAATCCTAGAAGCTTTGGACAGGTTATATTTAAGAACGTCTAAAATAGAGCACAATTAATACAAAGAAAAACAAAAAAGATGCCCTGCTATCATTAACCTGTAATGATCCACTATCAACCCAAATAATGCAATTTTTTCATCACTATAACAAAATGCCCATGCTAAAACAGGATTTGCACTGAAATTCAGATACAGTATAAGTCAGCACCACCTCAGTCACCCAGATATATCCCAATTACCTGTAGGGGGGGGGCAGGATAGGAAAGAACGGGAAAGAATACTGCTCCTGTCGTAACCCAATATAAACAATACTGTCAAAATGCTAATAATTATGGAAAGTGTGTGGAAGAGAGGGCCTGAATATAGCAGGCACGTGGAAGGGAGGATGCACATTTGTGTTATTTGCTTACAAGGCACATTTCACTCACCACAGAGTCACTCTTGCCCCTACCCTGTGCTAGGATGCCTTACGAAGATGCACCCAATGCTATTTTATCCCTCTTTACTTGTCTCTGTAGGAATGACATGGTAGCCTTTCACTTATGGAGGAGAACGTAAAGGAGGCTAAATCTTCATCCTGACAGGGTGAATCCACTACCTGGTACAGGTTTTGCCTCGCCCCACCCTACATGTCCCAAATTATGGCATTTTTTACTTTATCCTATAGAACTCAGTGGGAGCCACTGAGAACACAGCCTGCCCACATAACCCCATTCTGGGCACTGACGGCACCTTGGAAATTGCCTTTTTATATGTCATATTTAGAATGCCTCTCCATTCTTCCCACTGATTTAAAAGTCAGTTACCTACCTCAAAATGAGCACAGCATTTGAATGTTGATAGGGGAAAGCCCAGCTTGCATTTCAAATATCCAGCTTTAGAGACTGCAGCAGTGGATTCCAAAGTAAGGTGTTTTGAATGCAGAATTCATGTCAGTGTGCAGCAGCAGCTGCTTATCCCAGAGAACTGCATCATCCTGGAGTGATTGTAAATCTATCCTCAATCCTCAAGTGCCTTTACATTCCCTTCCCCTTTATTTTCTTCACAAAAGCCTTCGCCAATGTGGCACCCTTCAAATGTTTTGGACTACAACTCCCCCTGCTGGATGGGGCCAAAGCGACTTGTAATCCAAAACATCTGGAGGACACCAGGCTTGTGAACGCTGCTCTGCAGCTATGCAAATATTCTGGCCAAAGTCAATATTCCCTAACTATCTGGTAGGACATCTAGAATGTTTCTTACAGAACAGGCCATTCTGGGGTCCTTTGCTCTTCGCTTCTCAAACGACAGTCCTCTTTCTGAATGCAGAAGCATTAATAAAGTCAAGGGGAGAACAAACATTTTCTACGATTATCAGAGAATTAATTCCTATTTTAAAAGAGCCAGTTTCGGTACTTGCCAGGGACTAACGGGTAGAAGCTCCAACTGTTACAAAAGAAAGAAAATTGAGAGATACCCGTTTCCAGGGGAGAGTCATTCTGCTCAGCAGCTGCCCTCTTTCAGAGAGAGGCAAAGGAAATCCAAAGGGAGGATTAATAGAAGAGCCATCTGCCATGAGGCTGGCACGACACAGCATTAGAGGAAGGCTGGCACCTGCCAGCAGGTCCAATGGGCATTGCTGCAAGGGCACTGCAGCCAAAGTGGGGTCTGGAATGAGAACAGACCTACCAAAGGGCTTGAAAGAACGCCTGAGCTCAAGGTAGGTATCTAAACAAAGTACTGTTGAAAATTAGACTTGCGACTGTAAGGAAGCAGGGACTTAAAAATTGTTCAGGGATCTCCTTTGAGTATTCTGGATCATAGTGTGTTCTTGGTTAGGAATCCTGTAATGACAGTAATACTTAACACTTGTATAGCACTTACACGAGTTCAAAGTGCTTTACATGCATTCACTAGGTGTAATTCTTACAACAACCCTATAAGCTGAGTCAGTATTACTATACTCATATTGCAGATGGAGGTGGGGGTGATGGGCGGTTGTGAAAGAAAGGTTTGCCTAAGTTCATGGAAGAGATGACATATGATCCTTCCCGATTTATAACTCATCTTCTTAGCTGCTAGACTTTTACAGCCACTGGTTTTTTCACTTAAAGCTGGAAAAAAAATTGCTCCCATGTTTTCCTCTCTCTGTGGAATTTGTTGGCATTAACGTTTTTTGAATGCGTGATGAGGATTTTATAGTTTGTCATTTTTGTAGCTCCATGTTTTCCACTAACCCTACTGCTGGAGGAAACTATGAGGCTTTCTTTTATTTTTTTCCATGAGACATTTGAATACTACTTCATAAATGTAAAGTTAGCTGGGGGCTTACAGGAAGCTAAAGAAACCAACAACAATTTAATTACAAAGGAAAACGTTGAAGCATTAAAGAGAGGGGAATTACCTATATATAAAAAAAACCTCCATACCCCCAAAATCAAAAACAAATTAAAAAAAAACAGAAGGTTGCATCAAACTAAGTTCTACTCAAAGTAGACCCATTAAAATTAATGAAGCTAGGCTAGGCATATTCATTTACTTTAATGGGTCTCATCGGAGTTGGACTAGCAGAGTTGGGTTGGAATACAACCCAGAGGCTTAGATTACCTGAATTATTTAAAAGTCCTGGGCAAACAGAAAAGTCTAGTCTTGAAAAGTCTACAAAGATGGCAGCAGATTGGCCTCCTTGGGTTCACAGATGGGACACAGTACTGTATGTGAAAATAGTTTCAGTGGCTCCAGAACAAGGGTTCTCTCGGCCTCTACGAAACCAGAATGTCTGCAAGCTAAGAGCAGAAAACCTCCAAACCTAGAGACTTTCAGATCTAAAACTCCACCTAAAAATTACGCAGAGCTAAAGGAATTAAATTTATTCAAGCAAATGAGAAGGAGAAGGAGCAGGAAGTAAAAAAGAAGTAGTAAAATTAGTAGCATTAAATGGATGTTACTATACAGCCAGAGCGGGTTAATGGTCAGACTGTTGGGACAAGGACTGGAGTCCTGATTCAAATCCCTACTCAGTCAAAGCTCACTGGGTTACCTTGAGCGAGACACTTTTCCACTCAGCCTGTGAAGACAGAAGGAGAGAACAGAAGTACACTAAACTCATTGGAGGAAAGGTGAGATTAAAAAAAGGGTCAAAGAAATGGTTCCTAGTCCATTGAAACAACTACCTTTTAAGCTCTCACCCAGACCTGGTTAAAATGGCTCAGGGTTCCTGTGCCAGTTATTAGCCTTATTTAGAGATTCTTACTCACACAATGAGGGGGAAGAACATTGCTCCCTGGCCCTGATCCCAGTGTTAGAAACTGATATATAAGCGAATCGCCAAATGGCATCTTAAGCCTAGGTTGCTGTAGCCACAACAAAATGTCTAGGCGCCTTTTTTTTTTTAACAGTGGGATTTATTATTCTTTTCATTTCCATACCGCATGATTTCATTTCTGTACCGCTTTATATTTTTAAGGAAAAAACTCAAAGCGGTTTAGAACGATTAAAACATAAAATAAAACAATCCAGAATAAAACAAATTCAAGCTTCAGGGAAAATATTTCAGATCCTTCTCCAAATGACATGTTGCTTTCCCCATATTTATTTACCTGCTTAATTTATATAGCTGCCCCACAGAGAAGTACTCTAGGAAGCTAGTGTGGTGTAGTGGTTAGTGTGTCAGACTAGGTCCATGGGAGATCAGGGTTCAAATCCCCACTCAGTCATGAAGCTCACTGGGTGACGTTGGGCCAGTCACAGCCTCTTACCCTACCTCAAAGGGTCGTTGTAGGGATTAATTGAGGAGGGGAGGTGAACTCCTTGGAGAAAAAGGTGGGATATACATGTAAAAAATAAGCTCTTTTGCTTACCTGCTTAAGAAAGCTGGAGAGGCCAGCCAGATGGAGATGTCAGTTGCCAACCTAGCATCCAGAGATCTCCACGTGGTTGCAGTTGGACCTGCAACAGTAGCAAAACGCGCCTGGCACCGGGCTAATTTCTAACACTGCCCTGATCCCATGAAAGCCCTGACCCTGACACATTGGAGGGAGAAGGTCTGAAGTAGGGTGATGTAAAGTCCTTGCACAACCTAAAAGCCCTGATAGTGTTGTGAAGAGCCTCTCCAACATGCGGAGGGGCCAAGGAACAGGAACATGATCAAGTGCAGCCCCCCCCCTTTACTTTCATGCTTTGATAAGATTTGCATACCTCTTAATCAACAAAGTCTGTATAACTAATAATAATAATAATCACAGCCTGTATCTGTACTGGATTTAGAATTGTTTTTCATATGAAGTTGTCTTCTACTGTTAGGATATGTGGAACTGCTTTTAATTATTTTCATACATGGAATTGTTTTCGCTATCAAGATTTTAAATAAATGTCATTTTATTTATTGTTTGTGTGCTGCCAAAGTTTCTTGTAACAATTGTGGAGGTGTGATATGTGCATTTATGCATGCGTGCATATATACATACACACACACACACACATATATATATATATATACACACACACACACACACACACACACATATTCCAGCAAGCTGTTTAATTGACTTCTGGTTTTCTAGTTTTAGTTCATTTTTAGTCTTGTTGTATTGGGTCTCCTGTACACTGCTTAGAGATGGCTGTGATAAAGCACACTATCCCAACAGACAGATGATAAATAGATAGATAGATAAATAGATAGATAGATAGATAGATAGATAGTAGGGGCTGTGTGTGAATTTGAAGATGGTATCATGCATTTATGGTCCTTCCCCCCCCCAAAAAAAAAATTTGTTGTAAGTTGCTTGGGGACCTCTGGGTAATTAATAAGCAGCTAACAAGTCAAACAAACAAACAAACAAACAAACACCTCTAAGCGATTCTACACTGTGGTAATTGTGTGACAAACTGCAATCGTGAATGGGGCTTTTGTCAATGCAGACTGGCGCTTAGGCCTCAGTGGTTTCTTCAGGCCTTTTCAGTCCGGCCTGTAGAGTAACTTCTCGCCTCAGGCCTGCTGAAGTGAGTCAGGGGACTGGGATTCCCAAGCTGCTCCATCCACGTTTAGCTGCCACAGGACATTTCTGTGGGGAACTGAATAGGCCTCTGGTGGTTCCTATCCTCTCCCTTCAGGTCTGCTTGCCCGGATCCTGCTCTGTACATCCCCCAATCCAAGTTTCCCCTCACACTTTCCATTTCTTCTCAGAGAGCTACTTATCCAGGGGGAAAGGGATCGCCCCAGTTCATTCAGAGTTACATGATTAATTTGATATTTTGAGTGAACCAAATAGCTGACTCTCAAGCGGCATTTCACAGCACTTGACAGCCAACTTTCTCCTTTACCCAGTGACACACACATCCAAAGAGCAATAATAATAATAATAATAATAATTCCAAGGCAAAAATTCAAATTTGACATTCACTTTTTTTAATTTTGAGGCCAAAATTCAACTTAGACATCCACATTGGGTGGTGGACTTCAAGGTTGCAGTCAACCAAAAGTCAGATAAGGCCTCATATGAGAAGAAGATAGGGCTCCTTTAGATGTTATATTAATTGAACAGAAGGTACAGCTTGGAGCAGCACAGGTACAGCTATATTGAACATGTAGTAATATTTCATTAACATTATCCAAAGTGCACCATACCATCAGAGGTAAGAGTGCGCCACCACAATTACTACCAAGGACTACTGCTGCTAGAATAAGGCATGGGTAGGCAAACTAAGGCCCAGGGGCCAGATCCGGCCCAATCGCCTTCTAAATCCGGCCCATGGACGGTCCGGGAATCAGCGTGTTTTTACATGAGTAGAATGTGTCCTTTTATTTAAAATGCATCTCTGGGTTATTTGTGTGGCCCGCCTGGTGTTTTTGCATGAGCAGAATGTGTGCTTTTATTTAAAATGTATCTCTGGGTTATTTGTGGGGCATAGAAATTCGTTCATTTTTTTTCTTTCCAAAATATAGTCCGGCCCCCTACAAGGTCTGAGGGACAATGGACCGGCCCCTTGCTGAAAAAGTTTGCTGACCCTGTTAGAAAGCTGTACCTCTTTATACACTGCGCTCAACATGAGAGGTCCTGCTCTGCACCCCACCAATATATGAGATTTGGCACAGGTCCATTAGAAGCAGAGTCTTCTTTCTAATGGCACACACCATCTTCTGCAAGCTCAGGAAGGAGGCTGCAACACTAAATACCTTCAAGGTTTGGGGATCTTGATTTGGCACATGTAGACATGGGTCTTCAATTTGTTGATTTGCTGTATGGTGTTTTTATCATCCTGCTTGAAACAGGTTCAAAAATGAATGAGCAGAGGACTTTAAAAATAAAAATAAAAAAAGGAAACCGGATGTCACTGAAGGGTCCTGCCCAAGAGGGCACAAAGAGACAGGTAACTCACCATTTATGTGCATTCAATGCACATGCGACTTAGAATTGCCACCTGTAATACAGGATTGTCCCGTATTTCAATGCAAAATGCTGTGTCCTGTATAGTTACAGTTTTGTCCTGCATTTCAGTTTTTTCTCTGTCTCTGCCAAGCTAGGGATCCTCTCCAAATGCATATGCTTGAAAGGGTCTATGAAAGGTCATGTATTTAAACTCTGGGTAGCCAAACGGAGACAAATTTACATATGCATGTGCATGTGTGTGCACGTATGTGTGACATATTCCAGAGGGACCATCCTGTTAGGCTGCAATGGATTGTAATGGATCGCTTTGAAGTAACTTCAGCACCAGATTTGGGGGGGGATCACACACCCCCATTTGCCCTGCCTGCAGTTTGCCAGAACAAAGGTGGCAACCCTGGTGTGACTGCACGCACACATCAGCACAAACCTGGAAGTGGCCCTAATAGAGCTCAAAAATAGCAAAAATGGCATGGAAACAGTGTCTAGCAATCCCACAAGCCTTTGCTGTAGAGAGTTAAGAATTTGAGAAAGGAGGTTTGTAGAGATTGGTTGTGGTGGAGTTTTGTGGATTTGGAGGTTTTTTCAAGGGTTTCCAGAGATTTAGACAGTGTTTTCAGGTTTTTTCAATGGTGTTCCAAATATACGCACTATCACTTAAACACATAGTGCCTCAGAAAGTATCCCCGTGTAAATGAGGAGTTGCCTGTATTCTGTTGCCCAAAGGCTCACCCAAATCTGGAGTCAGTCTTACCATCTAAGAGAAGCGAGAGGCTCTGTTAAGCCCAGAAACTAAAATTACCTAACTGCATCACTGACTCCCACATAAGCAGAAATAGGACTGCAGCCTATAGAACATGAAGAGCAATCCTCTGCGTGTCTACACAGGAGTAAATCCTGCTGAGTTCAGTGAAGCTTACTTTGATGTTCCTTCAGAAGCTCATTGGCAATTTACACTGCAGAGTCCAAGTACAGAACTAACCAGTGAAAAATCTGTAACGTGCCCATCCACAAGATTACATTCTTTTATTAGAATTAATAACCCCCCTTCTCTCACTTACAGAGGCACCTAAACACACACACACATCATTTTATGGATTAGATTCAACAATGTACTAAATGAATGGGGGAAAGAAATGCTGCTCAGTGGTCCACCCTTGGGAATCTGCTGCCCCAAGGCTGGATCTAGATCTCTGTACCAGCAAGCAAAAGCATTTTTTTCAAACCATAAGAGCAATTCTTCCTACGCAAGAAGATACACCTCCTTCCTTCCACTCCGAAGTATTTCAAATAGGTAGTGAACCAGTAACACTATTTTGCATCCCTTATCAAACATGAGACCACTGATCGAAATCTATTACAAATAAATAAATAACAATAACAACTATTTCAACTGCCACAATTGCATTCACATTGCCTAAATCCAAGACAAAAAGTGTTTTTTAATTTGAGTTTAAGTGGCTGTGGAAAATGTACTCCCTCTTCCCTTCTACATAAATCCCACCTCTATTTGGGTGGCTTTGCTGTCACTGACCTCTAAGGTGGTGGTGGTTGTAATTTTTAATTTAATTTAACTTATACATACCCCGCCCATCTGGCTGGGTTTCCCCAGCCACTCTGGGGTAGGTTAGGAACATTTTAAGGTTTTTTTTTATTATGGTTGGATGCAACAGTGAACACAGTCAGAGGTGGAGTAATTCATGTATGAAAGGAGATGGAAGCCAGAAAACCTGTTTATAGAACAGAAAATGTGTTATACCTGGTCAGACTATTGGTCCATCCAACTCAGTACTGTCTACTCTAAATGGCAACAGCTCTCCGGTCGCTTAGCCAAAGGGTCTTTCTTATCACCTGCTGCTACCTGGGATCCTTTCAACTGGAAACGCCAGAGACTGAATCAGCAGGTAAAATAAAGCAAATATTCAGCCTTATGGAGTTCAATGGAACTTGCTTCCTAAGGAGTGTGCTTAATACCGCAAACTTTGTCTCAATGAGATTTCAAAAACTGTGAATGTATTGCATTCTTCAAAGAAGGCTTTAATGGTTAATTACTTTCACTGTTAAAAATGGGGATGAAAGGTGTGATTCCTTTAGCGTCAGCTTCCATCTGTTCACATATTAAGATAGAAACTAGCATCTTTCCCCATTTTTCTCCTGTCTCTTTATTTTTGCCCTGCTTCCTCTTAGCAGGCTATTCCAGTCTCTTTCTGGACTTCTTAATCATTCCTATTCCTCCCTTAACTAATCGCTGGTTTTTACATCTTCCATGAGGTATTATGGCGAGAACTGAATGAGCTAATTCCAATAAATATATAGTACCAGTTTCATGAGGCCATCATTAATGTTTTTAAGCAAAATTATTCATTTCAGTGCATTCATGCCTGGCATTTGGACCACTGGCTTGAATGGTGCTTGTATCTTGCACAGACATCCATTACCATTCCTAGAAGAACTTTCCATGCATACACAACCTAACAGAAAAAGGGGTGAGGGGAAGATGACCACCCTCCCCACCCAGAGTCCACCCCCAGTGCTATCACTGATTTCTGAACAATCAATAAATCTTTTGCTGCAGCAGTAGAGATGTATCATCACTTTTGAATCCCCTGAAGCCCATACATTTGGTATGGAACCATGTACTGAATTTTTTATTTTATTTTCTAAAAACCTGCTTTACCATTTTCATAACAGCTAACTAGTGTATACAAACTAGTAGCTAAGACTGCAATTCTAACCACATCTACTCAGAAGGAAGTCCCATTGAATTCAATGGAGCTTCCCTCCCAGGGAAGTGGTATTAGAATTACAGCCTAGAACAGGGGAAGACTTTCATATCCCAGAAACTGAGCTGTTTCAGGAATTAGCCTGTGTCACTGCGAGCTGGCTGAAATTATTTTCACTGCAGATAATAAAGAGTGCCGGGAACTGATTGTGAAAAATACAACAATCTTATCAAGATTATTGGGACTACAGAGCAAGATGAAGTCATTTATAAAGATTTTGAACAATAGCGGGCCCAGGATGGAACCCTGTGGCACGCCCCTTTGCACTTTTTCCCATGATGAGGAACCACTGGTGAGCACTCTTTGGGTTCGGTTATTCAACAAGCTATAAATCCACCTAACAGTAACAT